CGCCGGGCGGGTGCGGGGGCCTTGCCGGGCCGACCTTGCCCCTGCCGCCCTGCAGCGCAGCCCGAGCGTTCGGAGAGTACCTGTCCCAGAGTCACCCTGAAAGCCGCAACGGGGCAGGTAGGCAGCGCGTCGCGCGCTTGGGGTCCAGGACTGGCCCCTCACAGCCCCTGCCCTAGCCTGGCCCAGGCCCCAGAGGAGCTCCGATCCCTCATCACCATGACACCCACCCAGCCCGGGCCGTTGGCATGGCAACAGGCCTCCTGGCACCCCCAGGGCTGGCACCACTGTCTCCGGGGGCCAGCTGGCAGGGGGGAGGGGAGGAGTTGGCACTAGGCACACGGTGTGACTGCAGGGGGCTGTTTGTTCCTGCTCCCCAGGAGCATGCACAGGTAGCAAGGCCTGTCACCCCACCTCAGGCACACACAAGGGCTTCAGACCCAGATAGGCAGACAGGAAGGCTGGGGAACACCTTTCCTGAAGGCATTAGGGACCCAGATCCAGCAGCCCGAGCCCCCACGTCAGGCCCAGTGCCCGCGGTGGGGCTCCTTGCCCACAGTGCGCCAGGAGACTGGGAGCTAAGGCTGACAGGCTGAAGGCTCACCTGGTGCCTCTCCCCAGACCACCTGCTGGCTGATGCCTACTCTGGCCACGACGGGTCCCCCGAGATGCAGCCAGCCCCCCAGAACAAGCGTCGCCTGTCGGTTGTGTCCAATGGCCGCTATGAGGGGAGCCTCTCAGATGAGGCTGTCAGTGGGAAGCCAGCTGCCGAGGCCCCCAAGTCCCGTGTATACACCATCTCCGGGGAGCCTGCCCTTCTGCCTGGGCCTGAGGCTGAGGCCATTGAGTTAGCCGTGGTGAAAGGGCAGCGGCAGCGGGAACGGCACCCTCACCACCACAGCCAGCCTCTCCGCACCAGCCCAGGCAGCAGCCGCGAGGACATCAGCAGGCCCTGCCAAAGTTGGGAAGGCAGCCGCCAGGGCTCCAAAGAATGTCCTGCATGTGCCCAGCTGGCCCCTGGGCCCTCCCCACGGGCCTTTGGGCTGGAACAGCCACCGCTGCCAGAGGCCTCTGGCCGCCGCAAGAAGCTGGAGAGGATGTACAGCGTTGATCGAGTGTCAGGTGAAGGACTTGTCTTGGGGTGGGAGAACCTCTGGGTGGCATGGGGGGCAGACACCAGCAGCACTGTGAGGCTGGGATGGGTGGAGGATGTGTGCAGCACGCAGAGTCAGAGTGAACCCCACAGGCTCCTGGGGCCACCCCAACATGCCCCAGACTGGGGCCTCTCTCACCTCAGCAAAGCTTGGCCAGACCTCATGGTTCGGCTTGGCCCTTGTGGCACTGGGTCCCTGAAGGGAGCACTTCCGGGAGGAGGAGGCCTGGGAGGATCTTCAGGGATGAGCAAGCAAAAAGCATGGTTCCGTTGGAAGATGGGGCTGTCTTCAAAAGTCCTGAGGAGCTGCTTGGGGCCCAGGATTGCCAAGCTCTGCAGAGGGCAGTGTCTAAGCTGCTGTGCCTGTGGATAGGCCTCCCTCGAAGCTTTAGCAGCCCTTTGCCTTGGGGGAGCAAGGTGCTATCCACCATGGGTGCTGGCCTCCACCTCCTCATCCTGGAGGGATCCCAGGAGGTCTAGTCAGGTATCAGAGAAGACCTAAGACTGTGCACAAAGGAAAGGGAATGAGCCCTTTCCCTGGCCACTTCTGGGAGCAGACTGTCTTCACAGGATGCCCCTCAAATTCTGGGAAGCCAAAGGGAGTTACACAGGGGATCAAAGCCTCAAGTTTCTGAGCATGCACAGCTGGTTGGAGCCCATGTGGGGACTCCAGGCACCCTGTTGTCTCGACTCTGCGGCTGTGGCCAGTCCCCTTTCTAATCAGACAGTCAGGCTTCAGGAGGCCGTCCACACCAGCCCTGCTTCCTTCTGTCTCCCAGATGACGTTCCCATTCGCACATGGTTCCCCAAGGAGAACCTGTTCAGCTTCCAGACGGCAACCACAACTATGCAAGCGTGAGTCCCACAAGGGCCTGGTGCTCAGGACATACTGGTGACCCTTTGCTGGACTCTAGGCCCAGCTGGGTTCCATTTGGGAACAGCTACTGGTGCCCTGCTGTGCCGGATCCCCTATCAAGCTGGCTGAGCCCTTGAGACCCTGGGGGGCTCATTCCCACAGCTCACGTCTGGCCTGACCACTCTCTGATCCGTTCCTTGCTTCCCTCCCTCACAGCCCCCCACCTGCCCCAGACTCTGTGGTCTGTCCTCATGTCTCGGGCAGTGGCTCGCCACAGCCGGTATCATCATCACAGGGTGTGTAGGGGTGTGTGTATACCCTTCATGTGCACCCCAAACCACACCTTCTTCTGTCCTGTGTGACACATGGTGGTCACAAGGGTTTCGGAGGGTCTGTCTGTTTCCCCTTCCAAGGAGGTGCCAGAGCAGCCCTTACCATGTCCTCAGACTGCTGCCCTTCTGCAGGACTGGCCCAGCCCAGCTGACTGGGCTCAGTACCTGGAGCATGGGCCCAGCTTCTCAGCTACCGCTGCCCAGCCACATCCTATTGGTAGCTTGAGTGTGTGCGGGACCCTGCTAGTCTGTGACAGGAGGGAGCTTGCTTCAGGGTCCTGGGGGCTGAGGGGAGCTGGGTCTGGGCTCACTGTGTCTTCTCTCTCATGCTGCCCCTTCCTGCTGGGCTTCAGCATCTCGTAAGTACCCATGCAGGTTGTGCCCGAGGGCACAGCTGTTGCCCTGGGGCAACCCTACCACTCCCAAATAGGTGTATGCAGGCCAGGGACCTGGGCCTTGACTGAGTGCTCAGCCCCGTGGGCATGGTGCCCTGTGAGCACTGAGGCCACAGCAGGGTCTGCCGGGAGCCCGGCCTTGGATGCCCCGCTGGGCCCTCTGTTTGTGCCTCTGTCCCCTCGTCTGTGTCCCTTCTGCCTCTGGCCAAGGGCACTGCTGACTTGCCGCGGTTTCCCAGGGTGTTCAGGGGCTACGCGGAGAGGAAGCGCCGGAAACGGGAGAATGATTCCGCGTCTGTAATCCAGAGGTAGGGCCTGCCAGCCACTCGCCACCAGGGTCTGTCTCTGGTCTGCACTGGCCTGGGCCCTCCTGGCCCTGCAGACCTGAGGGGGGAAGGGTGGTGGCGACCACTGGCCTGGCCCTGCTCTGAGGACGTGGCAGGCAGGAGTTGCTGTGTGCCCCGGGCTCCTTTCAGCCCCAGGAGCTGCACCCGGAGGTTCGTGGACAGTTGTGCTGCTGCCAGCTGGCTCCCTACATCTGTCCGGCCCTGGAGGCCAGAGCTCTGAGGCCATGGCAAGGCCTAGCCTCCCCTACTCCCACCAATGTGCCTAGAACGCTTGTCTGTCCATCTTGGACACTGGGCCTTAGCAGGGCACAAGGTTTGGGGAAGCAAGGACCTGCTTCCCAAGTGGAGCGGGTGCCTGTGGTCAGTCCCAAGGCTGACCTGCGGTTGTACAACAGGATCACTCTGGCTGCTGTGTAGAAGGTGGCCATTGGTCCCCTGAGAAGGGTGACTGAGGGACTCGGTGGGGGTGGGCCCAGGGACAGAAGGGCCAGCAGAGGGCGTGCCTGTGTGCGCACCCTGTGAGGACCTAACCTGAGGAGAGGAGGCTTGCTGGAGAGCCTGGGCACGCACCTTTGTTCTGGGTCAAAGGGGAGGCCTGGAAGGGTCCGGGGGAGGAGGCTAGGTGACATTTGCCTATGTGCCTGCGGTGGGCAGAGGGGGTAGAAGTCCAGAAGAGCACAGGGCCACTGGGAGGGGCTGAGAGCGGAGCTCTGGTGAGGTCAGGGCCAGGAGGGCAGGGGCTTGTCTTCAGCACCTCCATCGCCCAATGCTTCCTCCCCCAGGAACTTCCGCAAACACCTGCGCATGGTCGGCAGTCGGCGGGTGAAGGCCCAGAGTAAGACTCGGGGGTGGTGGGCAGCTCTGCGCTTGGCCGAGGGGGTGCTTGGCAGGCAGTTGGCAGCACTGGAGAGACGGAAGTCCCAGGACCCACTCCAGCCCTGGCCCTGCCCCAGCCCCACCTTCCCTACCACCTGGGCCTCACCCCTGCTGGCCCCGGCCCTGCCCAGGTCCTGGCCTCGCCTCCCCAGCCCACCCGGCAGTGTCTTTGGACCAGATCCCCACTCTGCCTCTAGCTCCTGTCTCTGTGCCAAGCTGGCCATTGGTTGTTACCATTGTGGCCAGGCCCTACCCATGTCGGCTTTCAGCCCTGCCCGTTCCCCCAGGCCCCCAGCCCTCGCCCATGACTCCCTGAAGCCCCAGCTGATGGGGCTTTGCTCTCACTGCAGCGTTCGCTGAGCGGCGCGAGCGGAGCTTCAGCCGGTCCTGGAGCGACCCCACCCCCATGAAAGCCGACACTTCCCACGACTCCCGAGACAGTAGGTGTCCCGGCTGCAGTCGACCCACTCCCCAGAGTCCTGAGGCCCCCGGTCTGGCCAGAGTCCCAGCATCACTCAGCTTCTGCGCTTGTGCTCTCAGCCTCAGTGTACCTACCGCCTGTGAGATGGGGGTGCCCACCATGCTGACCTCACAGGCAGGGTAACTGAGGGCTGCCTCGGTGGGGCAGGGCACCTGGGGACTGTGCTCGCTGCCCTCTGGGGCCTGGCACACACCTGGCTGCAGCGGACACTGCACGTGGCTCATCCTTGCAACAGGGTGTTCCCTCTTCCCCACCGGTGCCAGAGGCTCTGCCCCTCACCACGTGGCCCTCCCACTACCCCTAAGACCCTCCAGGACGTGGCTTGCGGGCTCTGTGGGCGGTGGGGCCGCTATGGCGGTGACTCCTCCTGCCTCCCAGGCAGTGACCTGCAGAGCTCACACTGCACGCTGGACGAGGCCTGTGAGGACCTGGACTGGGAAACGGAGAAGGGCCTTGAGGCTGTAGCCTGTAGCACCGAGGGCTTCCTGCCGCCCAAGGTCATGGTGAGGCCTTCTGGGTACTGCTGAGCCTTCCCTGTGTCCCAGGCTGCCCGGTGGGGGGGGGTAAGGGGTATCGGGCTCTGCCCTCCACTGCCTTGGTGTCAAGGACTCTGCCCTCGGCTTCTTTGGGGTTTGGAAGGGCATTGGGCTGCACCCTGAGCTGAGGAGGGTGGCAACCTCCCAGCGCTCCTGCTGTCCCTGGCTATGGGATAAGCCTGGGCACTGAGCAGCTCCCCTGTCTTCCCAGCTCATCTCCTCCAAGGTGCCCAAAGCCGAGTACATCCCTACCATCATCCGCAGGGACGACCCCTCCATCATCCCCATCCTCTATGTGAGTGCCCTGCCCGGTGGTCCCCACACCCTGGGCTCCACCCCTCAACCCAGGGTGCCCAGAGGTTTGGTGGGCTCGCCAGGGGCCCTAACACATGGCTGCCTGTCCCTAGGACCACGAGCACGCAACCTTTGAGGACATCCTGGGTATGTGACCTGCTGGCCTGGTGTCTGCACTGGTGGGGAGGGTGTCTGCACCGGCTAGAGCGGTGCTCATGCCTCTTGTCCACAGAGGAGATAGAGAAGAAGCTGAACGTGTATCACAAGGGGGCCAAGATCTGGAAGATGCTGATTTTCTGTCAGGTGGGGCCCAGCCCTCCCTTCACCCCAGGGAAGCACCAATATGGTGGGGGAAGGCAGCCAGGGTTGTGCCTCATGAGTGTGTGTGTGTGTGGTGTGCACGCATGGTGTGTATGTACGGGTGGTCTACGTGTTTGCATGTGTGGTGTGCATGCATCCATACTATGTGTCCATGGTGTCTGTGGGTGAGGGTGCCTGCATGCCTGTTCATTGAGGGGGCAGCTGCTGGACGTTTCCCTCTGGCCCTCTGGAGCTCTAACCGCAGCCTCTTACAGGGAGGTCCTGGACACCTCTATCTGCTCAAGAACAAGGTGGCCACATTTGCCAAAGTGGAGAAGGAAGAGGACATGATCCAGTGAGAGGGTGGTGTCCTGGGCTGGGGGAGGGCTCAAGGCAATCCTGGGGCCTGGGCTGAGGCCAGCTGGGACCCCTGTCCCCCCAGCTTCTGGAAGCGGTTGAGCCGCCTGATGAGCAAGGTGAACCCAGAGCCGAACATCATCCATATCATGGGCTGCTACATCCTGGGGAACCCCAACGGGGAGAAGGTATGGCCCAGGCCCACGGGAGGCACTTCCCCTCTTGCCCTCCCAGCCCCCCTGGGTCCCCTGGCTGCAGCTCACAGCTTGCCCCTTCTTGCAGCTGTTCCAGAATCTCAGGAACCTCATGACTCCCTACAGGGTTGCCTTCGAGTCACCCCTGGAGCTGTCTGCCCAAGGTGAGTGAGCCCTGCCACCAGCCACAGGTGTTGGGGTCCCGCCCAGCCCTGAGTCCCCCGCTCTCCTGCACAGGGAAGCAGATGATCGAGACCTACTTTGACTTCCGGCTGTACCGCCTGTGGAAGAGCCGCCAGCACTCGAAGCTGCTGGACCTCGATGAGGTCCTGTGAGGGGCCCGGGCCACGCCAGCTACTGCTGGGCCATGGGCACTGCACTCAGGACACATGGCCCTGGTCTTGCCCAGAGCTCTTCAGGGGCCCCAGGAAGTCACTCAGGTTCTCATGGGGTCTGGTCCTCTCTGGACCCATGGCCCAAGGCTGCGGTCCCAGGCCAGCAGACACTCAGCAGCTGGGGCACTGACCTGCCATGCCTCGCCTGGAGGCTGCAGTGTTGAAATCCCCTCTGCGGGGTTCATAGAAATAAGTGCAATTTCTTATGCCCCTGAAACAATCTGAAGGGAAGCAGCATTACTAGTTAACTAGTCCAGCACTATGCTACTAGTTACAGTGTAGACTATCCGGCCCAGTGTGTGTCCAGGTCCTCCTCTCCCCAGCCCCTTAGCCCTGCCGTATTTGATCACCAGCACCAGGGTGGCCCGTCTATCAGCTTCCCCTTCTTCCCTACTCCCCCGCTCACTCTGACCTCAGCCAACGAGGGGTGGCCAGGCAGGGGCAGCGGTGGGGGTGGGGGCCGCTCTCGCTTTTGCTGGCCTTGGTTGGAGGCCTCCTCCCCACACAGAACCACACTGGATGCTGCCAGCCCCAGTGCCCCAGGCCTGAGCCCAAGGAGCTAGTGGGTGGCAGGGTCCTCGGCTCCCCGTCCCCGCCTTGCCCAGGGCCCACTGGTGGGCTCTGTTGTACATAGCTGGGGCTTGGGGGCAGGCCCCCCTTTCGCAGAGCCCAAGGCCGGGGACACCTGGCTGTGTCCCTGGCCAGGGATGGGGCCACGCTCTATACAATGTACGATACCCTTAGAGTGACCATTAAACCCGATCCTCTGCTGCGGCTGTGCGTGCTCTCTGCTTGTGCCCACAAGTGCCCACTGGCCCAGTGACTGCTGTGGCAGCTTCCTGTGTACCCTGGCAGGGCAGGGCCACCTGACTCTCCCAAGGGCATGTGTCAGGGTGGGGCATCACTGTGGGGAGAGGATAGGAGGGCCCGTTGGGGCGGGGGAGTGTGTCCAGGAAAGGGCTGAGTGTGGAGATGGTGCCCTCTTGCCATCTCTGCTCTTCCCTGGGCACTGAGCAAGGCTGCCCACACCCTCAGGCCCCCTGTGCTGGTGTTTAGGAGTGTGGCCACAGCAGAGGCCAAGGGGTATCCCCAGGACTAGCTGGCCATGCCCCAGTGTCCAGGAGTGGTGCCCATCCTGCCAGATAGTGCCCATTCTGTGATAGGGCAGAGCCACTGGTTGGGAAGGGGAGGGGGCCGCCTGTGCAGACCCAAGGCCAGCTGCAGGGGTGGGGTGTGTGCTTCCAGCAGGAGGGGACAGTCTGGTGCCAGTATGGAAGCTCCTGGATGTGTGGGTGAAATGAAATGTTCGTGTGCTTCCACTTACTGAGTTGCCCATGCCCTCTGAAAGTGACTTATGAGACCCTGTGATTCGGCCATCTCTTCTGCGGTCCTATGCCCTGCTCCTGGCCTCGAGGCCACCCTGCAGGCTCAGGCTAGACATGTGAGGCTGTTTTAGCAGGTGCTCCTTCCTTAGTCCTGGGTCACTGAGCGGGCAGGAGTCTAATCTGCAGCTTTCAAGGTTCATCCCCATAGTCAGCAAGGGGCAGTGCTAGAGGAGAAGACCCCAGCTGGGAAGCCATGAGGGACCAGTGCCCGCCGCATGTGGGGGAGGTGGGGACACAGGTGGGGGGGAGTAAGTGGGTGCCCAAGGTGTCCCCCACTTCTTTTTTTTTTTTTTTTGTCTTTTTGAGACAGGATCTCACTATGCAGTTCAGGCTGGCCTTGAGCTCACTTTGTAGCCCAGGTTGGCCTTGAACTTGCAGCAATCCTCCTGCCTCAGCCTGCCTAGTTCTGGGGTTAGAGGCGTGCGCTGCCACACCCAGCTTACCCCCACTTCTAATAAATACCCACCAAAATAGTTGGGGTGGAGACATTTGCAGCACATGCAAGAGCTTAAGAGTTCATCTATTATTACCAACTTTAATATGTGAAGAGTTATAGGCCGATAAGCAAAAGCAGTACCAATAGGGGAAATGAGCCAAGATGTGATGATGTGATGACACAGGCAGGAACTGGGGGCCAGTGGAGGTGTGAGGAAAGGCCGAACCCCATTAGGGTTGAGGAAGGCAGCCAGGTGTACTTTCTGCCCATGGTTGGCCCTGCCAAAGACAGGGACACTGGTGCTGGTGGGGTCTTCTGCAACTTGCACAGCGAAGCTCGCAGTGTCCAGTGTCCTGGGAGGAGGCCACTGCCTGCAGTACTCACACGGCACATCCTGGAGCAGAACCCAAGGGCAAGAGTGGGTTGTTTGTTCCAGTGGCTCTCAGAAGGAGGAAGCCTGGTCCGACAGCCAGAGGCCCGGACACCATCTGTTGGAAGCAATGGTAAACAGTCTCAAGGAAGCTCCTGATCGCCTAGGAGGCCTCAGGAGACAGCGCAGAGGCTGCCTGCCTCCCTGGTCGTCCTGCCCACACTGGCCTCGTACTCCTGGGTGCAGAGGCCTTGAGCTGCACATGCAGGTTTTCTGCACGACTCCAGACTGACACCCTGGGTGCCCCTTGCCTGTCTTTTACCCCAGCAGAGCACCCTCCATAAAAGCATGAAGCTATCATCATAGCTCTAGAGGCAGAGTGGAGTTGAAATGCTGAGAAAAATATTTGAAGAACTAAAGAGGGGAACATCTCAAGTCTAGTGAAAGATGAACCCATGGGTATGGGGAGCTAAGCAGCCTTAAACAGGCCCGACCAAGGAGATCGCGTGACACGTCCTCACCAAATGGCTAGGGACCAAGGACACAGGCTCATGTGGTATGCACAGCTGCAGGTCAGCCAGAGGGACTGCACCTCAGGCAGCGGACATGAGCCTGTGCCTGGAGGCTGCACACAGGGCAGCGTTGCAGGCCGGGTCTCTCTGAACAGCTACCCTGGGCCAGCAGATGCTGCCTTCTCCCGTGTTCACATGGGTGTCCCCTGTCTGTTCCTGGTACAGGGCTGCTCTGTCCCTAAGGCTGTCCCTCCACTTCAGATGCTGGCTGCGGCCCTAGCCTCTGACTAACAGGCATAATCCCGGGGTCCCACATTTCCACTCAGATTTGATTAATTTTTGAAAGCTGCCACAGAACTCAGGCAACACTGCATTTGCCAGTGATAGGGGGATCCAGAGGAGAGATGCAGAGCGGGAGGAGCATGGGCTTCTGGACCCTTCTGGGGCCCCACAAATTCAGCCATCCTGAAGCTTTATGAACCCTGTCCTTGGGGGTTTAATGGGAAAATTCCAGCTTCTAGGGCTTGGGGAGGGGGTCAGGAGCCAGGAACCACAGCTGAACATAATGCCCCAGGACACCCCTGGTTTTTAACTGAGACAGTGCACATCAGAAGGCCACAACTCAAAAGACTGCAGCAGCACTGGAGGCCAGTTCCGGTGCTGGCGAACAGTCACCTCATCACTACAGAAGGAATGCGTCTCTTGGCGAAGCTGTACAGGTTTGCAGGCTGTGCGCAGTCTCACTGGGTGCAGAGGCAGGAGTGGTCTCAGCAGACAGCCTCGTGCTGCCTGGCAGTGGCATTGTGGCAAAGGGACAGTGCCATCTGTGCTCTGGGCTGCTTCTCCTCTTCCTTGGTTCTGATGCTGCTGCTCTGCCCAGTGGGGCAGGGACAGCTGGTGGTTGCTGTACAGGGCCAGCCAGCAGGAGCTTCCCCATGTCCTGCACTGGACATAGGGCAGCAGCCCAGGGGCAACTTCCTTGAGCCCTGCTGTGGCTGGGAGAGGGCACAGCCCCAGGGCCTCCCACCCCACTCAGGAGCCCCTCTTCCTGCTCTCGGCGAGTCCTTCAATCTTTCATGCTTTGAGGCTACCTCAGCTGATGTCCCCGGCAGGCAGCTCCAGTCTGCAATCCCCTGGTTGTGTCTGGGAGGTGTGCACAGGCCCCATGAAGGAAGGCCCCACCAGCACTGGGGGAGGACAGTCCACGTGGGGCTCTGCCATTTCACCAGCCCCACCAGCATGTCCAGTGACGAGTCACACTGCTGAAAGGGTAGGCTTACATGTCTTCTGTTTGGTGTTTTTGGCTGTTTTTGCTTGCTTTTTGCCCTTACAGTGCTAGGGATGAACCCAGGGCCTCAGGCATGCTGGGCGAGTGCTTACCACGGAGCCACCCGGCCCGACTGCCTTCTGCTCCTCAGAACCAGATAGGAAAATAGCCGGGTCAGACGTGATGTCCATCCCAATCCATGCAGGTAGGACACTGCTGCTGAGCAGGAGGTGTGTCCCAGTACACCATGCTCCTGTTGTCACCAAGGAGAACCTCAGAGAAACCTTTGGCTTCACTTGCTCTTAGCTGACTTACAGGTCACTGATTTTGGAGGTCACCCAGCTGGGCCAAACCTCAGCCTCCCACTCACAGTAGCTGTACTGTGGTGGTGATGATGATTGCCTAGGTGACATTTCAAGGACTCGAGGCTGCCCTTGCAAAGACGCTGACTCTTCTCTTGTGCCTGAGGACGTCTGAGCAGGGCACCCAGTTGCACACTGGGTCCATCTCCTTTCTCCTTAACCCTTGGGTCGGTTTCTGCTCAGCTGTGCAGGTGGACATGCTGATCATTAGAAATGTTTTGTCCGGATCTGTGATCCAGGGCCACCTTGACCTGGACTTGTCTGGCCTCTCCTCCCCTTCAAGGATAAGAGCACCCGCCCCTGCTGTGACGGATATACTGACCCCAAGATGAGGGGAAGGGCTGCACCCTGTGCCTGGAAGGCTGTCCCCGGATGCTCCTCCCCTTTGTGAGCCCCTCCCACCTCCTGTATTCCTTTCCTGCATCTAACCCTCAACCCCTTGGAGGAGGGTAGCTGATTTGGAAGCGCAGCTGCTTTTCCATTCTTTGGTCACTGACTGAGGTCTTTCTTTTTTCCCACGTCCATCTCTCCAGCCTTGGCTTTTCTGCAGGATTAGCTGTAGGGCTCAGGAACACTACACGTTTCTGTCCACTTCTTGACTGTGGCCTTACTGGGACCCTACCCCCATTAGAGTCCATTATTTTAGCCCATTTTTTAAAGATGAAAAAACTAACAAAACAACAGTGAAGACAAAATCAAAACAATACAAAAACAACAAAAATGATACATGACCTCAAAATAAAATGGTAGGAATTAACAATGGTTGCTACATTACATACTATTATCTTCAACGAAGTTGCTCAGTTCACCAGACACAAGAATGTAAGATTGATCAAACAATCAAAGACAGTACCAAGTAATAAAAAACAAAATTGGAAATGATGCAGAACTTCACCATACAAGATGGTAGTTCAACAATGGTTCTTATACTGCATATTTTTGTTTTCAGATCAGTCATTCTGATTACTAGATTCAAGCATGCAAAAATTGGTCAAGAAAAAAAATTCAATTGACTGTTCTTTTCAATAAACCACAGACATCAGCAATATACCTATCCCAGCTTTCCTTGTATATACATATAAATTTTGTTTTTCATTTTAAAGAGAAAAGAAAAAAATTTTAAAAACCAAATACATAAACAAAAGAACATAGAGAATAATAAAAATGATACCAAATTTCAAAATAAGGTGACAGGATATTAACAATAGCTGTTGTATTACATAATGTCATCTTCAGAATGGTTGCACAGATAACAAGATGTAGGCATGCAAGATTGATACCCTACTCTTAATGAACATCCAGAAGTTTGCACCCTGCTAGGCCAGCCCCCATGGCTCACCTCTTTCATTTCCTGAGTGTCACCTCACTTCTTCATAGCCATCCTCTTACATCCTCCACCTTCCTGGAAGAGCTGTGATTGTCTCGGCATATCTGCGGGCCCAAGGAGGCCATGACAGCCAATGTGAGAGGCTTCTCAAACTGTCCTTGGATCGTGCAGCAGTCAGGTCAGCCTCACATGGAACAGTCCTGTGGCCATAGCTCTGGCTGTGACCCGGCCAGTGGGACTGAGACTCTTGGGGCTGAAGGAGCTCTGGCTAGAGGAGTCAGTAGCCTGTACAGAGGCTGGTCATAGACGGCTGGGCTCCTTAACCCCAGGTAGCCCTCAGAGAACCACAGAGAGACACCCACAGTAGTTGGCCAGAGCCTTTCTCTAGTGAGAGTCTGGGGAGGGAGGCCCAAGGTGCTCACACAACCTGCCCTGCTGCAGACAGGGGCTGGCGCACCTGCTTGTAGTGTCTGTGGGGGCTGGGACCACACAGTCTGCAGGCCAAGGTCCAGCAAGGAGTGTGTGGCCAACTCCACCAGCTGCTACCCTGCCAACTTCCCATGTATGCCCTCTTCACCCTCCCACCTTGTGTTAAATTTAGGGTGTCTGAAAATGTCCCCTTTGGTCCCTTTATCGACACACAGCATGGCAGCTGCCATCCAGGTGCTGCACCTGCATCTGCGGGTGGGGCCCACATCCCCTTCTAAGTTGTCCAGGCTGCCTGGATGGCTGCTCAAAGGGCTGTGGTCCTTTGTGGACTCAAATACACTCTTTGGTCTGTCTGCTTCAGTCAGTTGCTCTCCTCAGACTCTGGAGCTCGCTGGACCCAGCTTTTGCATCTACCCTGTCAGTCCCATGTTTGCCTTTCACCTACCCTAACTACCTTCTTGGTGACCACAGTGTTACCAGAAAGCCAGGACCTGACACAGCAAGGAACCAGCTCCTCACTTTCTCGGTCTTTGGTTCTTTGTGCCTCTATGAAAGAATTCAGCCAAGATCCACAGGCACCAATAGATGCGTGGGTAGAATTCAGTGTCAGGAGAGACAGTCTCACCTTCGAGGACAAGGCAGGCAGTGCTGCAAAGCCGTCACACCCAGTTGGAGCCTAGAGGCCTTTTGAGGCGCAGAGTTACCCCTGGCACTCAGAAGCCAGGGTGTGATGACAGTTACTAACAGTCCAGCTAGAGATTACTCTGGGATTGCAGAATGTCCTCCTGTCCTGTTAGAGGGGCAGTGTTTCCTCTGTTGCTCTAATCACGTGAGGACTTAGGAAGAAATTTGTGGAAGACGAGCTAAGCTCTTCGTTTAGGCCAGGAGGGTCTCTAACAGCATGGGCTGTGGGCCGTGCGCCCAGCAGCCCTGTGTGCCTCGCTCTGGAACCAGGTGGCCAGGTGTCAGAAGGGTTGGGCACATGTGAGCCCCGAATGCCACTGCGCTCCGTGGGGCTTTCAGCGGAGACCGTGCTGGATGCGTTACATGTTGACATCTTTGTTGCTCCACTCACCTGGCAACACTGTTTTGGACACTCCCCCACGAACTTTGTCCCTGAGACTTGCTAATGTATAACTACCTGCCCAATACAAAGGTCTTTACTGTGTGTAATTTGCTTTCTGCATAATTTCTGCCTCTGGGGGTCTCCAGGATAAGGGCAGAACTCAGACAGGTGGCCAGACCGACACCAGATTGCAAGGCACCTCTCTCTTTTGTGGGCCCACACTCTATCTCTGAGTGTGTACTTTTAATTTGTGCCTAGTATAGCTCTTTATGTCTCTTATTGACATGTCCTGGAAGCTCAGGAGCCCGTAACCTGGAACTTAATTCAATGGGTGTGGGGGTCTGTGTTCATCGTCTTGATGGGGCCCTTCTCAGACCTGTCTGACTGTACTTCACGTTTCTGTGAGCAAGGACCACTCATACACCTGCCTTCACTGAGGCCAAGTCTGAAGATGCAGGAAGAAAAGGTCCTACATGTTCCGGCACAGCCAGCCCCACGTCCTCCCCGCCGGCAAACTCCAGGCTGGTGTCCTCCTCCCCATCCCATTCTGACAGTGCCTGCTGGGCCCAGTCCCTACTGCTGCACCCCAGAGCCAGCCATGGGGCCCTGTTGGTCTCGCCTCTGCTCTGACCCACCAGTATAAACCCTGTACCCCTCAGGCTTGGTTGCCTGGCTATAGCGGCACAGAATTCAGGAAGACACCTGCGTTTTCTGGTTTAGAACAGAGGACACAGATGAAGGTGGCTAGGGCACTTTAGGGTGTGGGGGTGAGGAGCCTTCCCCTTTCTGGAGCTTCCTCAGGGACTCCATGTGTCTATTCCCCAGATGCTGTCTGAGTCCTGCGATCCTGGACTCTGCATAGAGTCACGGCTCAGGACTGACTGAACCAGGGATGGTGCTGGAGGGTGGGTCCCACAGAGGCCCCCTGGCTGGAGAGACAAGAAGCGGAACCCACAGGTTCCTTTTGGCCCCACCCCCACCCCAGGACAACCAGCCCCTTCTCTGTCTCTTTTTTTTGGGGGGTGGGTTGGTTTTTTTCCGGGAACCAGGAATCGAACTCACGACCTTGTGCTTGCCAGGCAGGCGCTGTGCCGCTGAGCTAAATCCCCAGCCTCTCTCTTGTTTTTTTTTTAACACAGGGTCTTGCTGTGTAGTTCAGGGTGGCCTTGAGTTCACTATGTAGCCTGGGCTGACCCTTCTGCCTCAGCCTTCTGAGTACTGGAATTATAGCCTTGTGATACAAGCCCCTTCTCTGAGATGTGCATTTGTACTCGAGACACCAGACAGCACATCAACATACACCTGTGGCATTTTAAACAGTGAAACCCACAGGACAGAGTACAAGGAAGCTCCCCAAAGCAGAAATGGGGAACCTTGACTACTCCACCCGCAGGAGAGGTTGAAGGTTTGCTGACTTCTACCAAAGAAAAAGAGGTTTACCTGAGTCTTTTTGGGCAAAGATGAAAAGGTTCACGTTCAGCAAGAATGGGGTGCATGCTGGGTGTGGTGGCACACGCCTGTATTCCCAGCACTTGAGAGGCTGAGGCAGGAGGATCGTTGCGGGTTTGAGACCAGCCTGGACTACAAAGTGAGCTCAAGTTCAGCCTGAACTGCATAGCGAGACCCTGTCTCAAAAACAAAACAAAACAAACAAAAAGAATGAGGTGCAGACCTAAGAGGGACCCTATGGTCTGGGGTAGAGGTTTTGTGTGGACTTGGGGGGGTCCTCAAGATGGGACTGTCAGCTGTGTGTCCCTAGTGTGTATCTCTCTGTCCATCGAGGAAGCTGTTAGCACGCAAACCACTTACCTCTGTGCAAAGCTGAGGTCTGCAGCTCCCTTTCTGCAGGAGGAAGTGTTGCTTATAGGGGGCCTGAGCCAGGCCTGCTGTGTTGTTAAGATGCTGAGGCCAATTTTTTGGAGTGAGTTTCCTGGAAAAGAAAAGGGCCACAGTAGCGTTTGTGTCCTGAAGCTGGAGCTTTTCTTAAAAGCATAATTTTAAAATTCTGATTTCCCCTGTCTCCTTCTGTACATTTATTTCTTTCATCCTACTCACTTCCCCTGGGGCTCTGGTCCTGTATTCCTAGGGTTGCAGAGGAGCCAGAGGTCTGGCTTACAGCTGCTTTAGGCTGAGAGCCGGTACTGGCCTGCCAGACAGGGGCTGAGAATCCCATCCAGACTGATCCAAAGGAAACACAGGGACACCTGGTTCTGTTGTTTGAAGAGTATTATCCTTTGATGATCAGTTGTTTTGGAAAATCGGGACACCAGCAGGTCCTTGAAGCTTAAGGCAGAGCCTGACGTTGCACTAATTTCTGAGCATCAGTCCCGCAGGAGACACATGGGCAGAGTTGTCAGGACACAGTGTTTGCTCTAATAATAGCGCAGGTGAGCCTCAGCTCCGCCGGGAGCGGAGAATTCTGGAACATATAAATGTCACAGCATGTTAAATGGACAGGGGCCAAAAATTAAAAGTAGAATAAGTGAATAGTTGTCCTCAAAATGATAGAAGATAAAATGAGGCCATATTTGGCATAAGTTTTTATCTTTAATGTTCACCTCTGTCCCGGGTTGTTTATCCAAGTGCAGCAGACTGAGTTTAAGAGCACACAGACCCCTCCCTATGTGTCAATAGGAAATATAATCTTTTAAAATTTTAATTATATGGCCAAGTGATAAACTAAAGATATCAGTGTTTTTAATATAAACTCTTATTACAAGGCTCAGAAGCTGGGATCCAGCCTTTCCTTTGTAGACCTGAAGATCTTGGTAGTGACTTCAAGACAATGCAAACACACAGATCCTGAAGTAGATAACAGAAAGTGAGTTTATATCCCCAAAGAAACCGTATAGAGGCTACAATTTACACTGGTATTTTTCTCCTAGGATGACCTATACAGGAAGTTAACTCTTCAGCCTAGGGACACTTGAATGTACCTCAAAATGTCACAGTGGTGATACCCTGAGGCAGGCAGAAGGATGCGTGGGAGGGGCTGGAGCTGCCTGTGTTCCCAGTGTGGTTGCAGACTTAGCAGTAACAGTGGATGACATGGTTGGAGCCCCTGTCTTTTGAGTTAGACTCTTTTGTTGGATGTTTAAGACCAAGTCAGAATAAGCTCAGGAGAGGGGGTGACTCACTGGAGCTGCAAGGCCCATTTAGTTCCTGGTCATGACATGGAGAGCACTGTGCATCAAGGGACAGATCGATAAAGTGGAGTCCATCAAGCACTTGACCTGCTCTGTCAGTGCATTGTGGAAATGATGAAAAGACAAGCTACAACTGGGAGAAAATATTTTAAAGTTGCATATCCAACAAGGGACTGATGTCCAAACTATGTAAGAAATCCTTGAAACCTAATATTGAACAATCTGATTAAAACACAGGCAAAAGAAGACAGGTCAGCAAAGGGCTGAGATAAACATATGCAAAAGTGTGGGCCAGGTAGGCACGGTAGTTTCATCCTCACACTTGGGGAGGCGGAGGTAGGAGGATCACAAGTTTGAGCCCAGCCTGGGCAACTTAACAACATAGTGAGGCTCTATCTCAAAATAAAACAAAACTTGAAATATAAAAGAAATAATTTTTTAAAAATCTGAGGATTTAGCTCTATGTGAAGGCTCTGGGTTCAGTCCCCCCCCGTCCCCAGTACAGGGAGGGCTGGGGTGAGGCACATTATGGTTGTTGGGTTTTTTTGTCTTTTTTTTTTTTTTTTTTTTTTTTTCCCAGTACCGGGTATCAAACTCACGACCTTGCACTTGCCATGCAGGCTCTGTGCCACTGAACTAAATTCCCAGCCCCTTTTTTTGTCTTTTTGAGACAGGGTCTCACTATGCAGCTCAGGCTGGCCTTGAACTCACTTTGTAGCCCAGTCTGGTCTCGAACTTGCAGCAATCCTCCTGCCTCAGCCTTCTGAGTGCTGGGATTACAGGCGTGCACCACCACACCTGGCAAGGCACATCATGTTGACAGAGATTCCACATCACCGATCCTTTGGGAAACGCAGTTTAAATGCACAGTGAGGCCACGTGGTCCAGTGGGTGAAAGCACAAACTGTCATAGCATGTCAGCCAGGGTGCAGTGGAACTGGCCCTGCTGGGAGAAAACGGTTGCCCAGGTTTGCACCGGGCTGCAGCCCTCGGCTCTGGCAGCTCTCCCATGTACACCCACAGGTGAGGCCAGCTGCCCTGCGTGGCTGTAGGTAAGCGCTTGGTCACACCGCCACCTGTCCACAGGCACAGGCCCAGAGGAGGGGACCTCAGGGGCCTCACACGCCAGGCAAGGGGCTAGGGCCTAAGTACACATGGCCAGCAGGGGGCGCCAGAGTCCCTGGCAGTGGCACATACAGACTGCTTGGGTAGAAAGAAAACTGCGCCTTAGGATGGAAAAACAACCAAGCCAAGGCGAAGGGGAGTGCCCTCCCTGCGCCCTCTCCCCACAGCAGTGGCCAGCCCTGTTTGCCTCTTGCCTCCGGGTCAGCATCACCTGACTCTGCCCTGGACAGGCCTCACAGGGTAGAGGGCAAAGTCTAACCACATGGCTCTGGGCTCCCCCACACCCGCCTGACCACATCCCCAGGGCAGCTGCGAGGTCAAGGTGAGGACCCTGACTTCCTTCCTCCCCTCCCAGGCAGGCAGGGGCCAAGGGTCAGGATGGTGGGTGATACAGGCAAAGCAGACTCTGGTGGCAGCCCCCAACCTGTCACCAGAGCAATGGGGTAGGGCCAACGTGCCTGCCACCTCCGCCCCAGGTCCTGGTAGGTGGAGACTGAGGAGAGCACAGCAGGTGCCCAGGACAGGTGCACCTGAGCACAGCGGCCCCAGTCCTGTGCGGTTAGTTGCCAGGTGAGTGTATCCAGAGGGTGGCCTGGTTTGGAATGCTCCTGGTCTGAGGGCTATCTTGGTTGGGGACCGTCCTGCTCTGAGGACCGTCCTGCTCTGAGGACCGTCCTGCTCTGAGGACTGTCCTGCTCTGAGGACCGTCCTGCTCTGGGGACTGTCCTGCTCTGGGGACATTCCTACTCAGGGCACCGTCTTGTCCAAATTTGGGGATCTGTTCTGTGCTCCTCCCCTACCTTCCTGGGACTGAGACTGAGGGATCTGCTTCCTTCCCAGAAGGGGTCCCTGTGTCCCTGTGCGCCTGTGCCCTATTCTCCCGAGGGAGCATGGGTGCTGGCGAGGGTATAGACTGGGTGCTGGGCAGGTCACCTGTCCTCCCTGCCTCTGCCTTCTCTCCTTAGAGTGGGCTCGGTCACCATGTGCCCAGAGGGGATGCAGCCAGGCCCTGCCTGCCGTCAGTTTGGTGACACACATGGGGAGGGTGTGCATTCTTGGAGGACAAGCGACACGCTAAGTCTTAGGATGCTGTGTGCTGGGGCATTTCCAGCTGGACTGTCCTGAGCTGCAGTGTCCAGGGTGCAGCAGGCTCCAGGTGTGGGCCGGCTAGCAGCCCCTCCAGCACCCAGCAGGCCAGGGTGGTAGGGCTAAGCCCTGAGCTGGGCAGGAAGAGTGGGTGAGCAGGCCCAGGAACAACATGCAGTCATCCCAGTCACCTGTTCCAGGCCCTCTGGGGCCAATGAGAAAGTCTCAGATCCAGGGTGGAGACTTTCAGGCTGGGTTTTCAAAAAGAAACAGGTCTTTGTTAAGAGGCAGCTGCGCAAGGTACACGCACACCCTCACCTGCCAGGCCTGGCTCAGGCTCCCGAGAAACCTGCTGAGGTGAGGCTGGCCAGAGTTCAGTCCGAGGCAGAGGAGGAAGACGGGGAAAGGGGAGCAGGGCTGCCCTGTAGCACGGGGGGGGGGGGCTGTCCCTTCTATGGTCCCACAGGGGCCAACTTGCCCAACAGTATTATTGGAAAGGGCTATCCGGACCCTGTGGGCCATCGAAGACCCACAGCAAGGCCGAGGGCAACTGGGTGGGTGGGGTAGGAATCTCGGTGTCCACTGCTGCCCCCATTTGTCCCACAGGTGCCTGCGCCCATGCCTGCCATGGGGTCAACCTGGAAGGAGCAGATCTTCATGGTCCTGCTGGGGGTAGCCACGGCCTCCGGCCTCACTGTGCTGGTCCTTATCCTGATAGAGGCAACCACTGTCCTGCTGCCTGCAGAGACCAAGGTGCACCCTGGATAAGCGGGGGTGGGGTGGGGCAACTGGCCACCAGATACCAGCTGACCCAGTGTCCCCACAGTTCGGGGTTGTGTTCGACGCTGGCTCCTCCCACACGTCCCTTTTTGTGTACCAGTGGCCAGCAGACAAGGAGAAGGACACGGGTGTGGTCAGCCAGGCCCTAGCATGCCAGGCAGAAGGTCAGTGGGCAGTTCCTGGGCGGCACTGTCAGGGAAGGGCCTACTGGGGGGCATCAGACAGATGCTGCACTGGGGTTCCAAGAGGACAAGTGATGTCCCACAGCTGCAGTGCAGGCTGGGCTGGACCCTGTGGGACCCTCCCCCGACATCCCGGCTGACTGCACATCTCCCTAACCCTTGCTGCCCACCCGGAACTGTAGGGTGCTGATGGTCAAGACCACAGCTCCTCTGAGAGCAGGGGACAGGGCTGGAGGTCACACTGCCCCAAGGCCACTGCACAGGTGTAGGGCCGACCAGGGAGTCCACATGATCTGGAGGTCTTCAGTGACACAAAGTTACAGCCGTGGCTTGCAAGCCTCAGGGTGTGTTCACACAGGAGCCACCATTCCAATCCCCAGCTCTGGCCTGGACCCTATTCTGGGCGCTGTTTCAGGGCCTGGGATCTCCTCCTATGCCTCGGACCCCGCACGGGCGGGCGAGAGTCTGAGGGGCTGCCTGGAGGAGGCGCTGGCACTGGTACCAGAAGCCCGGCAGCGGGAGACGCCCATGTTCCTGGGGGCCACGGCTGGCATGAGGCTGCTCAGGTGAGGTCAGTGTTGGGGCTGCGACATGCAGAGGGGGGCGGTGGGGCCGAGCCAGCTTCCTGCCAGCTCGGCCCCCATCCCCTGCCCAGACAGAAGAACAGCTCCCAGGCAAGGGACATCCTCGAGGCTGTCTCCCAGGTCCTGGGCCAGTCTCCCCTGGATTTCTGGGGTGCTGAGGTGCTGGCTGGACAGGACGAAGGTGCCTTCGGCTGGATCACTGTCAATTACCTGCTGGGAAGGCTGATCCAGGTGTGTGGTGGCCCCAGGGTGCCGGCTGGCAGACAGGGTAGGGCGGGGCAGTGGCCAGAGCTGAGCACCTGTCTGTGCACAGTACTCCTCTGGACAGTGGACTCAGCCTGCCCAGGGGACACTGGTGGGCGCCCTGGACATGGGGGGCGCCTCCACCCAGATCTGCTTTGTGCCCCGCGGCCCCATCCTGGACCAGAGCAGCCAGGCCACCTTCCACCTCTACGGCGCCAACTACAGTGTCTACACACACAGCCACCTCTGCTTTGGGCGTGACCAAGTGCTGCTCAGGCTCCTGGCCCTGCTGCTGCAGGTCAGCGGTGTGGGGAGGCCAGAGTGGGGGCCCAGGGAGGCCCCGGCTGGAGCTCAGCCCTCGGCCCTCCCTGCAGAGCAGCCCAGCCACCCTGGTGCGACACCCCTGCTACCACAGTGGCTACCAGACCACCCTGCCCCTGGCCACCCTGTCCGAGTCGCCCTGCGTCCACACCGCGGCGCCCCTGGACCCCACACAGAACCTCACCGTTGAGGGCACGGGCAACCCTGGGGCCTGTGTGGCGGCCATCCATGGGCTCTTCAACTTCAGCTGCCAGGACCAGGGAGACTGCGCCTTCAATGGGGTCTACCAGCCCCCTGTGCAGGGGCAATTCTACGTGAGCACCTGGTACCCACACCCTCCAGGCCAGGCACTGGCTGACCCCAGGAGCCCACCGGAGCCCCAGGTGGCACCAGGCCCACGAGGCCCTGACCTCCTGCAGGCGCGCACAACCTCTCCCTTCCCCCTAGGCCTTCTCCAACTTCTACTACACCTTCCACTTCCTCAACCTCACCTCCAGGCAGCCACTGGGCACTGTGAATGCCTCGGTCTGGGACTTCTGCCAGCGGCCCTGGCGGCTAGTGGGTGACTTGTTCCCTGCCCCAGCCCTCCCTGTCTTGTGGGTATCTCAGGACCTGGATTTGGTGGTGGAGCCCATGCTAGCCAGCAGCAGCAGGGTGGGGGTACCGTGGGCAGGGAAGGGTGCAGCCCCTTGTTGTCGTCCAGGTGAGGGGCCCAGTGTCATCGCCCCCAGGGGACTAACCTCTGGTAGTCATGGTGGCTGCCCCGGGCCTCTCCTACTCTGTATGGTCCCTGTGGGGAGGGAGGGCACCCCTGTTATCTAGAGGCTCCACTGGCCAGGGCACTGGCCAGGGCGCATCGGGGTCCTGGGCCCTCACTGGCTCCTGGGCACAATGACCCCAGGTAGAGGCCAGTTACCCTGGCCAGGAGCGCTGGCTGCCGGACTACTGTGTCTCGGGGCTGTACATCCTCACACTGCTGCGGGACGGCTACGGCTTCCGAGAGGAGACCTGGCCCAGCATAGAGTTCCAGAAACAGGTGACACCCCCCGCCAGGCATGAGTCTCTGGGCAGAGCCTGGAGCAGCTGCCCAGAACCCTGAGCCACTGTATCCCACAGGCCAGTGGCACTGACATTGGCTGGACACTGGGCTACATGCTGAACCTGACTGGCATGATCCCGGCCGAGGCGCCAGCTGAGTGGCGGGCACAGAACTACAAGGTCTGGGTGGCTGGAGTGGCACTCGTAGTGCTGACCCTGGTGGCCATTCTCGGGGCTGCCGCGGTCCATCTCCTCTGGCCCCAGAACTAGGCCAGGCCTTGCCAAAGCAGACCGTGATGGCTGCAACTGGAACCCGTGAACATCTGAGTCACCTACACCTCGGGGTCCAGGTCAGCGAGCAGTGCTTGAAGGAGAAGCCTGCACACTGTGTATCCCTCGCTGTGGCCTCCCTGCCCCTCCCCCAGGCCCTGGCTACGGGCAGCAAGACCTTCCTGCACCAACCAGCCAGCCCTGCAGCACCCCAAGGTGGCCACTGGGACCCCCCCTTCCCTACGGTGATCAGAGGACCTGCGGAAGCGGCATATGGGGCCAGCGCACCCCGTGCCCTCCCAAGGGTCTGCTGGGCCCCATCCTTGCCAAGGCCACAACAAGGGACACATAGTGGTGCTGTTTTTATTAAAGCTTCTGCAACGAGAGCTGCTCAGAGCCTGTCTTCCTGCTCGGGCCCTGGGCCCGGCTTAGGTACCGCTCCACTGGGTGGCGCCACGAAGCTCTTGGGGAAGATGCCAATGTAGCCGTGCCGGTGCCCCTCCAGCCAGGCTTCATCCACTGGGGAGGACACCAGTCAGCATCTGTGCCCACAGGCTGGGCCCCCGCCACACCCCACCTGGACAACTGTGGGTACCTTCAGCCAGGACGTCCACCATGTCCCCCCGGCGGAGGTCCAGGTCCTCGGGGCCCTGGGCCAAGTAGTCATGCTGGGCCAACACCTGGTACAGCACTGGCCGGCCCCCGGCCCCCTGCGGCAGGAGGAGGCTGAGGGATGGGGGGCAGGGCCACCCCTGTGTCCGCAAGCCCTCGCCCTTGCCCGCGCCCACTTCTCAGTTCAGCTCCCTACTCGACTCCCTGCGCAACTCACCCGGCACTGGAGCCGCAGCCCGTGGGGGGCAGATGCTGCATCCCTCCACGCCTTCTGCAGTGCGTCCTCCCCGGGGATGGGGACCCAGAGCTTGCTGTCCTCTGGGGCCCAGTAACTTCCAAGAAAGCGCTTAGGTTGGACAGGGAGGGTCACCCTGCCCACCCACCCCCAGTGCACTCTGCACTCACCTCAGCTGTGCCTGCTGGGCCTGGGCAGGGAGGGCCTCAGCCAGTAGAGCCCGCAGGCCAGCCAGCCCGGCTCCTCGGGGGGCCTGCAGCTCCACAGTGAGGGTGCACTGCACAGTGACCGCCACGGAGCCCTTGGAGTCCTGTGCAGCTGCTCCCTGGGGCAAGGGGCAGGCAGCTCTGAAGCCCCTGGCTGGGTGGGTTTGGGGTTATGGGCAAGGGAAGATCGCAGGGTGGTAGACCTAGGGCTTAGTGCATCTCTTACCCTGGTGCTCACAGGGTTGGGCCCGTGCAGCCCTGAGGGAGACATAGGGCTTAGGTGGGTGGCGGGTGGTGGG